CACTTTTTCCTGTAATGGCGGGAAAAAGTTAATGCCCCAACCAAAAAAAAAACGCCACATTTTGGACCCTTTTTTTGTGCGAATCCTTCTCGTGTGACAACGGGAGCCGCAAAAAGTTGGTTAACCACAGAGACTAGTGGGTGTCTAGTGGTCTGTACCGCCTTCTATTAATTGATAAAGCCTCTGCGCAAAGTTGCCAACTGAACCCTATTTAAAGTAGAAAAATGAACGCAAAATATATCTTGAATCGGATATTTTCAATCGGGTTTTCTCCATAAATTGGCCAAGAAAGATGGCACAGCTAAAATGAAGGCTGTTTTGTACAGCCATTAAACATAGCTCACTATTCATATCACAATTTTTATGATTTTTGAAAAGACAAAATTTTCAAAATTTTCGTATTTTCATATATAATACCATTATTAAAATTTGCGAAAAATGGCAAAAAATTAAAATTTCCTGGTTTGAACACAGATCGATAGGGAATTTCGTTACGAATTCAACGAGGTATGCCATTCTAGTTTTGGACAATTATTTTTAATGCTATCGCCAAAATACTTCTTATTTTTCACCTAAACAAAATTTTCCAAATTTTCGCATTTTCAAATACCATCATCAAAATTTGCAAAAAATGGCCAAAAATTTAAAAATTTTTGTTTGAACACAGATCGATAGGGAATTTTGTTACGAATTCAACGAGGTATGCCATTCTAGTTTTGGACAATTATTTTTAATGCTATCGCCAAAATACTTCTTATTTTTCACCTAAACAAAATTTTCCAAATTTTCGCATTTTCAAATACCATCATCAAAATTTGCAACAAATGGCCAAAAATTTAAAATTTTTTGTTTGAACACAGATCGATAGGGAATTTTGTTACGAATTCAACGAGGTATGCCATTCTAGTTTTGGACAATTATTTTTAATGCTATCGCCAAAATACTTCGTATTTTTCACCTAAACAAAATTTTCCAAATTTTCGCATTTTCAAATACCATCATTAAAATTTGCGAAAAATGGCAAAAAATTAACATTTCCTGGTTTGAACACAGATCGATAGGGAATTTTGTTACGAATTCAACGAGGTATGCCATTCTAGTTTTGGACAATTATTTTTAATGCTATCGCCAAAATACTTCTTATTTTTCACCTAAACAAAATTTTCCAAATTTTCGCATTTTCAAATACCATCATCAAAATTTGCAAAAAATGGCCAAAAATTTAAAAATTTTTGTTTGAACACAGATCGATAGGGAATTTTGTTACGAATTCAACGAGGTATGCCATTCTAGTTTTGGACAATTATTTTTAATGCTATCGCCAAAATACTTCTTATTTTTCACCTAAACAAAATTTTCCAAATTTTCGCATTTTCAAATACCATCATCAAAATTTGCAACAAATGGCCAAAAATTTAAAATTTTTTGTTTGAACACAGATCGATAGGGAATTTTGTTACGAATTCAACGAGGTATGCCATTCTAGTTTTGGACAATTATTTTTAATGCTATCGCCAAAATACTTCGTATTTTTCACCTAAACAAAATTTTCCAAATTTTCGCATTTTCAAATACCATCATTAAAATTTGCGAAAAATGGCAAAAAATTAACATTTCCTGGTTTGAACACAGATCGATAGGGAATTTTGTTACGAATTCAACGAGGTATGCCATTCTAGTTTTGGACAATTATTTTTAATGCTATCGCCAAAATACTTCTTATTTTTCACCTAAACAAAATTTTCCAAATTTTCGCATTTTCAAATACCATCATCAAAATTTGCAAAAAACGGCCAAAAATTTAAAATTTTTTGTTTGAACACAGATCGATAGGGAATTTTGTTACGAATTCAACGAGGTATGCCATTCTAGTTTTGGACAATTATTTTTAATGCTATCGCCAAAATACTTCTTATTTTTCACCTAAACAAAATTTTCCAAATTTTCGCATCAAAATTTGCAAAAAATGGCCAAAAATTTAAAAATTTTTGTTTGAACACAGATCGATAGGGAATTTTGTTACGAATTCAACGAGGTATGCCATTCTAGTTTTGGACAATTATTTTTAATGCTATCGCCAAAATACTTCTTATTTTTCACCTAAACAAAATTTTCCAAATTTTCGCATTTTCAAATACCATCATCAAAATTTGCAACAAATGGCCAAAAATTTAAAATTTTTTGTTTGAACACAGATCGATAGGGAATTTTGTTACGAATTCAACGAGGTATGCCATTCTAGTTTTGGACAATTATTTTTAATGCTATCGCCAAAATACTTCGTATTTTTCACCAAAACAAAATTTTCCAAATTTTCGCATTTTCAAATACCATCATTAAAATTTGCAAAAAATGGCCAAAAATTTAAAATTTTTTGTTTGAACACAGATCGATAGGGAATTTTGTTACGAATTCAACGAGGTATGCCATTCTAGTTTTGGACAATTATTTTTAATGCTATCGGCAAAATACTTCTTATTTTTCACCTAAACAAAATTTTCCAAATTTTCGCATTTTCAAGTACCATCATTAAAATTTGCGAAAAATAGCAAAAAATTAAAATTCCCTAGTTTGAACACAGATCGATAGGGAATTTTGTTACGAATTCAACGAGGTATGCCATTCTAGTTTTGGACAATTATTTTTAATGCTATCGCCAAAATACTTCTTATTTTTCACCTAAACAAAATTTTCCAAATTTTCGCATCAAAATTTGCAAAAAATGGCCAAAAATTTAAAAATTTTTGTTTGAACACAGATCGATAGGGAATTTTGTTACGAATTCAACGAGGTATGCCATTCTAGTTTTGGACAATTATTTTTAGTGCTATCGCCAAAATACTTCTTATTTTTCACCTAAACAAAATTTTCCAAATTTTCGCATTTTCAAATACTATCATCAAAATTTGCAAAAAATGGCCAAAAATTTAAAAATTTTTGTTTGAACACAGATCGATAGGGAATTTTGTTACGAATTCAACGAGGTATGCCATTCTAGTTTTGGACAATTATTTTTAGTGCTATCGCCAAAATACTTCTTATTTTTCACCTAAACAAAATTTTCCAAATTTTCGCATTTTCAAATACCATCATCAAAATTTGCGAAAAATGGCAAAAAATTAAAATTTCCGGGTTTGGACACAGATCGATAGGGAATTTTGTTACGAATTTAACGGGGTATGACATTCTAGGTTTGGACAACTATGTTTATTGCTATCGAAAAAATACAGTCCTGCTTAACTCACGGAATGTATGTGTAAATATATATAATAAGATGTCATAAAACTAAAATAATATTATATAGATACTTTAAATTTATATATGTTATATTATTTTATTTATTTTATTTGATTTACTTATGCTGATGCCCCATTATTTATTTGCCCTATTTGGCAATTTCATGCAAATACTTATGCCAAAATGGCAAAAATTTGCTACCAATCTGTTGCCAAAAACTATTCAGCAATAAACAGCTGAATCCTTAGAGAAAAATTTGGCAAGGGCTTAAACGGGGCTACAGTTGAAGCACCTTATGGCACACATATGTTGACCCTTTGCATGTTATAGTTTATAATATATATTCATACTTTTGGTATTATTGTCACCAAAATGTTGTACTATTTGTATTGATTCGCATATTCCTGTTCCTGCTGCTACTTATTACTCTATTGCCTGTTTTTGTTCAATGTTTTGTTTTTTGCTTGCGCTTTTTGTTCACCTTGAAACATCCTGTGCTAAATATATATTTGAAAAGGAAATTGATTTGCGGGCGCGGCTTACTGTTGTGGCTTATGCACTCAAAACAAAATCTTACGAGCAGCGAAACGTATATAAGAAACAACAATTGTATTATGTATTATACAAGTGCAAAAGCTGGTGTCATTTTCTTGTTTTTTTTGAGTGTACTGCGCAAGATTTCCCATTTCCTTGGGCATTTGCTACCTGTATTTGCTGGCGTACGTTTCCTCTTCTTTTACTCTTAAGTGATTGTTGGCCCCTTGAGTTTGTACTTCCTTTGGCTTCGTGGCCCACATCAATCCATTGGCATCAACTCATCGCAATTTTCGTATGGGCGAAATAACATTTTGTTACAGTTCAACACTGCTTTAGCCCCACTTTCCTTCCATTTCTATAGACTTTCTCTCTTTTTTCTTGGATGTCTTTGTCACGCTTCCATTGTGTGGAGCTACATAAATTGTTGGCTAATTGCAAGTGGCTTCTTTGGCCAAGAGAAAATATAACAAAAAAAAAAAAAAAAAAATACAAAATGTTCAGAAAAAGAAGGTGTAGGAGCGGGGGAACTTAAAGGAGAAAAGTGGGTTCTTTAAAGGCGGAAAAAGAAAGAAAGTACTGCGTTCGTGGAAAGCGAGTAAAAAGTGAAAGCTGAACACGACAACAAAGACTCAAAATGGTAACAATGAAAGACTCCTGTTCTATCGCCATCCCACCTTTTTTGACTTCTTACCCCTCGCACACACACATGCTTCCATCCACCTACACACACACCCAAACATTCCGTATAGAAGTCTGCGTTGTTTGCTGCCTTTTGTCCGCGTAATTGGTGGAAAAGAAAAACTGGGGGGAAAATTGTGTTGTTGGGTGCTTGCTCCCACAACAGTAAGTGAAAGCTGGACCATTGCCATGACAGCAATATTCTTAACGTTATGAGCTTTCATTTTATTTTGAGAATTTTCCATGAGCAAAAAAACCAAGCACATGTGAGGCTAAGCTGCATTTGGCCCAATTTGATAAATTTAATAAAGGAGCCAAATATGAAAATAAAATTGGTAAAAAACGTCTATTACTTAAGAGCAAAGTATTTAAGCCAGGGAACTGAGAATGCCACCAATGTCACTAATGCCGCTGTGCCTTAAAATCAAATCGATACACATTCAAAAACACATATATAATTGGTTTCAGAGTATGATAAACGCATAACATGGTCATGGCGAACTGAGTTCTTGAAACAAGTTTATATAGCAATTTGCATGTCGTTGCAGTGGTTGTGGCCAACCAGCAGATGCGCTCCACCACCAACCTGCTGATTATTAACCTGGCCGTCTCGGACATTCTGTTCGTCATCTTCTGCGTCCCGTTCACGGCCACCGATTACGTGCTACCGGAGTGGCCGTTTGGCAATGTGTGGTGCAAGTTTGTCCAGTACATGATTGTGGTTACATGCCACTGCAGGTGGGTGCCTATATGCATATGTATACATACCATATAACCTCTATACCGACATGTGACTTGCAGTGTTTACACCCTGGTGCTGATGTCCTTTGATCGCTTCCTGGCCGTCGTCCATCCCGTGACTAGCATGTCCCTGCGAACGGAGCGCAATGCCACACTGTAAGTGTCTTGACGTCTAACTCGACTGCTTTCGATACACTGCGCGAAAGCCGCGGCCCCGAGAGTCATTCAAGTGCATCCTACATGTATGGTGATTAATCACTGAACACATACTTGTAGTACGGGTATGTCTACGGCGAAAATCAACCTAAGGAACGCAATCATTTAGACGCAGAGAGCAGGCACTTTTCGTTCAAAAGTGTAGGTCGACTGCATCCCATATCCCACATCAGCTGGAGTAATTGCATCAATTTGTCCGGGCTTTGTAATTAGCTAGGTCTGCCTACCTGAATGCCTTGTTCCGTGGCCTCTGACCTTTTGCCTTTCTGCTCCACCTGTTCTTGTCGCAAGATACTGCGCTCCAGTTACACAAGTGAATCTTTCAAAGAGGACGGACGACCTTTGGGACAGCTGAAAAACTTTAGCCGCTAGCAAGTTGTCAACAAATTTCTTAGCCAACTGCGTCAGACTTGCAAGAAATTAAAAACCACACAAAAAACGGAGCAGGAATCTTGTAGAATTTTTTACCCCAAATCAAGTCGAAACTTTGTTGGCATGTGCCCTGATTAAAAACGCGTCCAAAGAAACTTGAGTAAAAAAGAGGAGTAATGAACGAATATAAATGCATACATACCTAAACGTAAAGTGCAATTGCGATGATTTATTTTCACGAACAGCGCGATTCAAAGGTCCAAATATATTGAAACCCTTTAATAACTGTCAGTTCTTATACGAGTATATATATCCCTGCTCCTTTTCCATTTCCTTAGGGCCATCATGTGCGCCTGGATAACGATTGTGACGACTGCGATTCCGGTGGCACTTTCGCACTCGGTGCGGATTTATCAGTACCACGGAAATGCTGGCACCGCTTGCGTCTTTTCCACGGAGGAGGATATCTGGAGTCTCGTCGGTTTTCAGGTTAGTTCTATATTCTTGCACACACACACAAAAAAAACTGGCAACTGTAACTTGGGACAAAAACATGTTCATTTGATTGTATTTGATATACGCCAAACCAGCTGAACACACAAAATAGGTAGTAGGTTAGGTGTGGGAATGAAAATGTATTTTGTATACCTATAAATATAAGCCGTTTTGGCCTTATTGTGTTCTGTGTACATTCAACACACTTTGTTGCGAGGGGAATCTCTTATTGTTGAAATCAAGTCATGTTTTCCAGTGCTTGCCCAGCAAAACTGCAACATATTTTCTACTCGGAACAAGCACTTGTCTTCACCTTCAGTCCTTCTATTCCGAAAAGCGAGGAAAACTTGTCAAGGTGTGAAAGATATCAGCGAGTATTATATATAGTCTGGTATACAAGTATTTGGATGTTAATGTCTGCTTAAAGTCAGTTGCAGCCCGCAGTTACTAAAAATGCCCACTCAAAATGTACAATTCATAGATTTGTGGATTTATACGAGTTTTCACAGCTCTCAATCAATTCTGCAGCCACACACCTATGTACTTGTATGTATGTACTAAGCCACTGTGCAACCCACGCACTGCATTTTCGCAGATCCCTATAAAGGACAAAAGCTTTCAGCAAAGTGTGCGGAGTGCAGAGGGTTCAGAGCCATATTTTGCAATTATTTGCCCGTTTTCTAAGGAAGAGATAGCGCACAATTCCATCATCATTATGGTGTAGATTCATCCACATAGATCAGCGTTATCCCAAATGGTTTTTCCGTTCACTTGAGTTGCTCATATTTGTTTTTTTTCCCCCGCCGAGTTTGTTATGTTTATTACTTGAACTTTTGTCTATTAATCAATTCGGGTACTTCGAAGGTCTTCGAGTGTAATTTCATGCCGGAAGGATGTTACACCGGAAAAGCTACAGTTGTTTTTGGCCCTCAGGGCGACGAGTGAAGGGAAGTGGATGGAACGAGCTTTGTCGTCTGTTTCCATTCACACAGCGAATGAATGAGTCGCTGACAAACTACACTGAGAAAACTTTGTTGGCTATTGTGACGCACTTTGCAATAAACGAACGAATGCCCTATTGCATGACTTAATGGTAGAGCAATGGTACAGTAAAGTCATTACTTGTTACTTAAAGTCATATGCGTAAAGTCATCACGTGTACTTAAAGTCATATTATTTGAAGTAGTAGCAATCAATTAGTTTCGTTCAGTGTGCGCAGGTGACTAACTGGCTGACTAACTGATTTACTGACTTACCGACTGACTGACTGGCTGGCTGACTGACTGACTGACTCCCTGAGTTATTCGGTATCTTCAGCTAATATGCAACCGAGAATTTTGCCGGCTCACCTTTCCACTCCACTCGAAAAGCAACTGGCACGGCAAATTGCACAGTTCGCTTCGCCCCGGGTTTTCCGACACTGACACGGATAAGGATACGGCGACATGGCTACGGATACGGCGTGTGCTGCGTCCTTGTGTCCCTGTCCTGCCACGCCCCCTTTTCCCGCTCCCCACCCCCAAATCCCCTCACCCCAACTGTGCACATAAATCGCAATTGCTTTGGAAAACACGAAAAGGAAACCACAGCGTTGGGAGCTTACTACAAAGTGTGAATGCTCTTTGTGGGCAACCGAAACTTGACAATTAAGTCGGGAATTTTTGATTATGTTCAAAAATATATTTCACATTATTTCGGGGCTATGAATTTACTTTTCCCATTGTATTTGTAGACTAACTACAGCTTAGTACATTCTATTTACTTGCAAGTCCCTTTTGAAAGAGTATCAGAAGTGCAGTGATATGATGTTTGATATTTGAGAGGGATGGGCCATTCTTAGTTGGGATTTGATATTCCGCCTGTGGAAGTAGTCATTGTCAGGGTCAATACATACATAGTGTGTTATTTCGAGCCTTGTCTGGCAATAAAATAAAAATGGATCAAACTTGTGCGGCGCATTCATCAAAGCAAAACGAACAGTGAAACTAACGACCGAATTGTTGTCATCGTAAAGAACTCATAAAACTGAAACAAATAGTCTGGAAAAGGTTCGGTGGAAATGGAGAATGTGCGGAAAATAGTGTTTATCTTTCAATACTGAATCCAAAAACCAAAAAAAAAAAGTGGTATTGAAGTAGACTTCTGTTTCGTTTCGCTGAAGAAGTCGAGTTGAACGCTCAAGAAATCCCGATTTCAGTAAATGGTTTATCTTTACAAAAAAAGCAATGTCTTAGAAATTAAGTTTACTACTACTAGTCAACTTTATTAAAGCTGTAAAAAAGGCCATAATTTGATGTCCGCAATATGGCAGCCAATTTATAATTTCAATCATCTTTTTGGTAAATGGCCTGGGGGTAAATAAATATACGCATGTAGTATATATATATCTAAATAGATATATATTTCGAGGAAAATTTATGTGGAAAAGAAGCACTCATCAGAGCCCGTGGCAAGCTGATTAATTTCGCTGAGTGTCAAGTTGCGTTTATGGACAAATCCCAGGCGCAATTTTTTTGGGTCATGCCGAATATTAAGTATACGCCCCCCAACCATTTATCATGTGGCACACACTTCAGTTTATGGCTTTTTATTAGGACCAGCATAAAGTTTAAAGGTCGATCGAAAGAAAAAAAAAAGAAGTAAAAAAAAAAGAGGAAATACAAAAAGTTCGCTGCTCAAGTTTGGCAACTTTTATTTATGGCGATTGTGCTGTAAAATTTCATGGTGTATATCCATCGATTCGGGCTTCTCAGTATCTTTGTTCTCTGGCATATTTTGCATCTTTCTATTTCCTAAGTGGAAGTTATATAGCCCCCATGGCAAACTTTATAGTTCCTCAACTCCATTTCGTGCTTAGATCTAGATATATACTCGCAATACACACTTGTCTCGGCCCATTGACACAGCAAAATGGCTGGATCATCCATTTCCAAATGCAATTGGGCAGAGCAAAAGCTCCATTTCGAAATGTTTGCTAATCATTTCGCGGGACAATGACTTTCAGTTTTGTTTTTGGCTCAAAATGACAATTTTGCTAAAAGCAGCTGAGCTCACTTTTGGAATAAGTTTTTTGCTGACAACTAGCTAATTTTGAAAGTGGCCAAGAAAAGCTGGCAACAATTGCAAATCAGAGTTTCCTCTATTTCGCTTCAGCTTACTAATTACAATACAATAATTAATAATAATTATAATACAATAATTGAAATGCTCCTCCAAATTGTTAATTATGATTTTCTGAATATATAGCCAAATAACAGGAGGAATTCCATTACAAAGCCAATTAAATTGTGGCAGTCTGCCCGCGGAACTCGCAGAAGGTGTCACTTTCAATCAGGGAAAGAGTATAAATAAATACACAATATATTCCATTGCTTGCGAATGTGCCATAAAGTGCAGGATTCAGCAGAGATATCGTTAACACCATTGTCGCGCATTACAAACAATTTCCTTTGCAATCAACGCTGTAATTAATGCATCGGTAATCCAGCCACATCTCAGCAAAATAAATAAGCGATTGTGCAAGTAATTCGTTATGGGATTCGATTTGATGATACTTCCTGCCCAAATCTCAGACAGTAAAACCATAAGAAACGGCATAACAAAGGCATATTTCCGTAAATAATTTGATTACATATTAAATATAGTAAATCAAATATATGTGCATATATAATAGCATACAATATGAACCTATTTTAAGGTATCTTGTTTACTAATTAGGTAATGGATGCACAGACTGACAGCGGGTATCATTACGCCACATCCAGAACACTTGGAACACTCGTATTCGGGGGATACGATTTCGAGAAGTGTCAGCACGGATTATGTCACTCCTCCTGGTTTTCGTTGCCGTTGCCGTTGCCGTTGTCGTTGTCGATAACAAACGACATGTTCATTGGCCATGGCCATGGTAAATTCCAACAAAGTGATTTCGATTTCGATTCCGTATTCCATGGCTGTCAGGCATTCGCCTCGCCTGCCGCCCACCGAAATTTATGAATGCCAAGGCGGGCCTACGATTATTATTAACAATTGCGGTATGCGCAATTTTATCGATGCACCGTTAAAAATTGTTTACAAAAAATATATATACTCGTGTATTTAATAGGCAGGATTTTTCGTTATGTGTACTCTTCGCGCTTCTTTTCCGTTTCATTGCGCCCATTTCGTGGAATACAATTGATATATGTACATATATTTTGACTTGCACCTTTGTGCATATTTGGCTGGTCCTCATTGCCAGTTTTCCGATTTTCATCCGGTTTTCATTCGTGATGGTGTTGGAAAGGGCGGAGGGGCGTTGGGTCTTAATCATTTACACCTGGCTGCCGACCGCCTCCCACAAAGGAAAAGCATTTCCACTCGAAAGTTGAGGCGCCGCCAAATGAGTTTTAAGCCTAGCAGCTCAATGGAAATGTACGAGTATGCAGGGCCCCGGAAAAACCGAATGATGCCTCAAAGAATTCAACTGGATTCAAGGCTTCAAATACTTTAAATATCCATTGCTGGCAGCTCTCGAAAGTTGATGTAAGCGCCAACGAGGCAAAGCAATCTTAAAGTTCGTAAAGGGCACAGGATCAATTTGAACTTTGTAATTACTACAGGCTTAAGTTAATATTGTTTGCATTAGTAGTGCAATTATGGTCAACAGCGTGGCGATTCATTTCACCGAGACTCAAGCGAAATATACACGGATATTCAACCGGAAGCCAGTTTTACCAACACCACTGTCTCATACACACACGCTCATTTCAAGGATATGTATATATATCATTTTGTCTGTTGGGAATACGGCTAAGCGGCAGCTGGTAAATGGAAATGGGCGCTTTTGGGTTCATCTTTTTTGTTTCCAGGGAGTGGCAAGTGTCTGGTACTCATATCTGGTATCTGGTCAGCATTACGGGTCAGCGCTTCTGACAATTTCCATGCAAAAACAAAAGGAGCTGACATGGCAGCAGATGGCAGAGGAAAAGCCTTCGACCAGTTGCATAAGCCCAACAAAATAAGCATTCCTACATGCATGTTTAAAATAACTAAACACGTGGTTTAACTGGCCTACAATAGTTACGTTTTTTGAACCAACTTACACGTTGCCAGAAAGATGATATCTCAACCTAATACTAGTGGCAAATTCCTGAATCAAACAATAGTTTTTCATGCGAGTTTACAAGCCTTAAAATCTGTTCTTGATCTTGAATCTGCATCAGCAGATACTTATACGCTTTCTTTGTATCTTTCGTATCTTTTCGTATCTTTTTGTATCTTTTTGTAATATTTTTGTGTCTTTTTCAATCTTTTTTCAACTTTTTGTATCTTTCTGTATCTTTATGTACCTTTTGGTATCTTTTTGCATCTTTTTCTAACTTTTTGTATCCATCTGTATCTTTTTTTAGGTCTCATTCTTTCTATCGTCATATGTGGCACCCTTAACGCTGATTTGCTTCCTGTACATGGGTATGCTGGCTCGACTTTGGAAAAGTGCTCCTGGCTGCAAGCCTTCCGCAGAGTCACGGTGAGTATTTACTTTATATACTAGGAAATGCTCCTGAGCGGAAAATATGCCAACAAACTCCGACATGCGAATATCGCGTATACGCCATGGTGAGGCAATTTTCCTTTTTGTTTTTTGTTGCTACGCACCTGCTGCCATGATGAATGCCTTTTTATTTGGCTGTGAGGAAAGCCCACGAGCTTCGGCTCATGCATTTTTAAGTGGCCAGGTCAACGAAACCGAATCATAAGTACAAATGTGAGCGATATTCCCGCAGGATACAGGAAACATGGGAGTGACATGAGTGGAAAAAATTCAGCAAAGGGACAATTTTTATACAAGTTGGCCATATTTTGTGGTGCACGGATGTAGAATATAAAACATTACTATTATTTCACGACTTCTAAGTTAGTTGCTTAAATTCCACTCTAAGGATAAAGCGACAAAGTAAAGTTACCTAAGCTACTCAGACGTGATCGGGGTCACCAACCATCAATTTAAAGTTGAACTTGCGGCAACTTTAAACTTTGAGAAATTCCTTGCCCAAGTTCGGTTTTATCATAAATCGAAAACTATTAAATTGTGCTCACTCTGCAGATGAAATGAATTCAACTTTAATCAAATTACTTTGGCTCACCTGTAAGCAGCTGCGGTTCCTTTTACATATACTTTATGTACATGTACATATATACTCGTATATATATACACATTAGTATGCGTTTTAAATTTGAATGGAAATGAACTTGCGACGAATTCGCAATCCGCACGCAAAGTTCATAAATCACAGCGTGGGCAATGCAAATAATTTATATGCACCCCAGATATCCATGTCTATATATGCATAGTATAACTATATATAGAGTGTATTTCGCCCACTAACTCTGCGATTTCTGTTGTTCTGGTTGTTGTTTCAGAAAGGGAAAACGACGGGTCACCCGAATGGTTGTTGTTGTCGTATTGGCATTTGCCATCTGTTGGCTGCCCATTCATGTAAGTAAAACACTAGCCATCAAATAGAAATAATCCATAAAATAATCAAAAATAATGCACCCAAGGTGCAGCGCCAATTTTGGCAACCAACCATTAATGTCGATTTGTGATATAGCTAATTATGATTGAACGGCAAATGAACTCATTTTTATTGGTTTCGGTTACCAAACACCGGTAGTTGCTAAAAATTAGGTCAAGGTTAGCTTAAAGTAATGCCAGCTCGTTGCTACTTTATGAACTTTGGTCAACTTTTAGGCATTCGGCAAGCAAAAGTTCCAGATGAAATTCTCAGTTTTCGCGCCAAGAAAATGATGGTGCACATAATCAATTTGCTTAAAGTTTTACTTACGATTTGAGTAGCTTAAATTGGCAGTGGGAACAGCTGCTGGGAAATTTTTGTTGGCAAACAGTGGATAGTTGCGATAAATTGACATTTGCGATATTCCGGTCCCATTTTGAATCAGTCTCCCCATTTATTTGCTGAAATGCTTAATAAGCCAGCAGCTGCTGTAGCTGCTCCTTGAGTTGCCGGCACTCAAAGTGTTTGCACAAAATCAATGTGCTCACAAATTACAAACGAAATTACAATTACACAGATACAGATACAGATACTTCGGAGTGCAATAAATGGGAGCTGCATCTATCTATCAATGCCAGCATATGGAGCATATCAGTAGATGTAGGCTTCTCAAATCAAATGCATTTTCTGCATAATTTAAATATGAGTTGCTGAAAGGAATTGCACAAGCCCAGCAGACTTTATACAACTATTTTATTTAATGCTTAACACTGCATAATACTTGCTTCCAGGTCATCCTTGTGCTGAAGGCACTGAATCTTTATGGCGGCAGCCACTTGTCGGTCATAATCCAGATTATATCCCATGTGGTGGCGTACACAAATTCCTGCATCAATCCCATACTATATGCCTTCCTATCGGACAACTTTCGCAAGGCATTCCGCAAGGTGGGCATCCATCGCATTCCCTCCATCAATCCGCTTATCATTCGGTAATAATGAGATATCGATCAACTTGCAGGTGGTTTGGTGTGGAAGTCCGCCTCCTCTGATGACCAATCAACAGGTGACCAAGACCACGCGAACTGCAACCGGCAACGGAACGTCCAATATTGAAATGCTCTAAGCGGGTATGTAACTGATCTTACACTCCATCAATCTATTTTTTGATTAATATTACTTGTAATACAACGAATTAGTCAAGTGATATTATGCTTTGCCTATAAATTTGAAGTAATATAAAACACATCCTTTACTTGCAGCTCTTGAAAACAAACTAATTGAGATCGTCACATCATTTTTGAAGGCGACTTAAAAACTCGAAACAGAAAATGTGAATTTAAAGCTAACAATGAATAGAACAACTTATGTTGGAATGAAAACGCGGCGCATATAAGTTAACTATTAATGTATATATGGTAACCAATATATGTCTATAAGGAGAATATAATTTTCCGAATTATAAAATGTGATTGTTTTGATAGTTTAAAATGTGTGCGCATTATTTCCCTAAAAATAAGTAAAATTGAATGTATTTTTAGTTGAGTTTGGTTTCATTTTCAACTTTGAGCGCCGTGTAAGTTTCATTTGGGACCTAGAACTTAAGAATTTAACATAAAATCTAATTTTTCAAGAAAAAATATAAGAAAATTAATACTTAAAACTGAATTGGTTAAATTTTACACCTGAATTATTGAAAATGGCAAATAAAAATTTTGTGAAACAGAAATTTATGAGAGTTGACACAGTAATTAATGAATAGAATTGATAAGCAGTGCGATTTCAGTAATAATTTGTAGATTTCCATGTTATAAGAAAGTCAAATGTCATTTAGCCATTAAGCGTTTAATAATATAAATTTATTATTAAAAAAAGAAGCCAGAAAAAAAACTTATTATAGACTTACACGACCATATTGAAAAATTAAGGTTTAATGATACGAAATTTTTGAATTTACATGAACGATTTTCGAAAACGAATTGTTTTTTCCGTTCCCCATTGAAATATATTGTTTGGCAGAGATGCACGAAGATAGCAGAAATTTATATAGCACGTAAGATACTTTTATTACCAGAGCTGTAATTTTAGATGCAGGTAAATGTTTCAAAATCGAGGTCTAAAAAAATGACTCTGGTACTTCTTTGTAGTACTAGCGAAGCTCAATTGGATGTAAATGACCCTTACATACTTAAGCCACTTATATCCCTTTAGCCCATTTTCGTTATGCAATTAAAATCAGTCATTAAATAGATCGGCAACAAAGAAACCGCATATAAATACAATGCTTGCATCTGCATAAATTATGAACCCTTTGAATAGAACAAATATTAGTCATTTTAATTTCCTACAATTAATTACAACAATTAATTAATTCATAAAATAGCCAATTGCTAACCATGCGAAATTGGTAATGTTTGAGTTAATCATGAGTTTACATGATTATATACAAGTTTATATACATAGCTAACACAATTTACACACATTTGACTATTATATAAGGGACATTAATGAAACATTTATATTGCTTTGTTGACTTTTTCATTTGCATGGCTTCGGCCTTGCCGAATTTAAATGTGACACAAAAACAGAAAAACCAAAATGGGAGTAAGTGTTCCTAGTTAAAAACCTTGTTTTCGCTTACCGAAGGATGCAACAATTTGTATAGCATACTTTAAAGCTGAAATGTGTTAGCAAAAACTTGATCACATTGCCACTGGAACATAAAATATGAAATATATATATTTAAATTTTTTTTTTTAAATTACTTTGTAAAATAGTTTACTCGATTTTTATGAAGACAATTTTGAATTTATAATAGCAAATCTCTTAGGAACACTTGCTGCCAATTCAGTAGCTACTGTATTCCACATAAAAAAAAACTATTGTAACATATATAAGCATATGTATAGCAACATAAAGGCGTATGTATGTATTTATATTTGTATTTGTAAATGTATTCTACTGCATTCCTAGCACAGTTGTGGAATTGAACAATATTTGAATTTAGAAAGAAAACAACCGAAAAATAAGGTCAAAATTGAACCTAAGAGAAATTGGGAATATTCTAGCATAAGCGTAACATTTAAAAAAGTTTTTTTGTGTACCCTGTAGGGTATATGCTAGCCGCCTATTCTCACGAAAATTAAAACCAAACTAGCGAATTAACAAAAAAATGCATTACGCAATGTACTCATCAATTTTCCATTTCAGTTATGCAGCAAATAGTTTAATTGCGTAAGATGAAAAGCAGAACTTATTGTATTTGTATATGAATGTATATGTACAATAACATTTGTTCATTGTGTTAAATAAAATTGATGACTCTGTGTACACAATAAAAATTGTATTTTTTATTGGCATGTTTTCCTTCACCTTTAGGTGCAAACACAAAGTAGTTGCGCAATACAAATAAAATGATTAAAAACCATCGATTTCAAATTTGTAAGCATTGAAGTTCATTGAAGGGAAGCCTTTTTACAATAATACTAAGTGGCAGGCAAACAGATTCAGCATTAGTTTCACCCTATATTTGTTGATCTCATTGATTCCAAATGACGGTTTATTTGTCAAATGCAAATATTTGGCTTTGAAACCAATATAGGTTGCACGTTTGATAAACTACAACGTTGGGTATTTAAACACGTTAAAGATTTTGTATCTCCTTTGGGACTTTTCTGGATTTAAAAGTTCTCTGCGCAGGCACTTACAAAAAAAACAGGAAAATAGGGCTCCCAAAAGGCAACCGACCACCGGCAATGTCATCCAAGAACTGAACTTCAAAACCAAGAAGAACTCCCACTTGGAGCTGGTGGAGCATTGTGTACAGAAAAAGGTGCATCATAAATTCACACAGAACGTGTAAACAGCGACATTATTTAGCCAACCTATTGTCTCGTGTGGGCGGCTTTCTTTATTCATACAGTGGGTTGAAGTAAGTTTTTTATAAATATCTATAAAATAAAATTTCTTGGTAACAGGGAACATGCACTACCCATTTATTTGTAATTTTAGTGAGGAATCGAAAGAAACTTAAATGTATCTTTAAATAATCCTTTCTTGGTAACAAAAAGCAATTTATTATTTGTAATTATAGTGCAGAATCGAAAGAAACATAAGTGTATCATACGTATCCCATTTCCTTGCTTTTCGCCCACTGTTTCGCCCACAGTATTGAAATTCGTGCAAATATTGCAAAATTTATGCCAGCTTCGAAATAAAAACAAGTGTCCGGCGCATTCGGCTCGTTTTACGAGGCAAACAGTGTAACTTACCCGATTTTATGATGTTTTGTTAGCCAAGCAACAGGTTGCAGGTGGAAACGCGGATGGGACGGGTGGAAAATCGCCGGTGTACCACATAGAGAAGTGGCTCCAATTTGTGGACTCGCAGATAAACAAGGCAATAAGCGGACAATGGGCCGCATACGCAATTGCTGCCGTAGCTCTTCATTAGATTGGATTGGCCGGGTGTGTGCTGGAAAAGGTCCTGACCCGGTCCTGGGCCTCATTACTTCAAATAGAGCGCTGGCCAACCGATTTAATTATGCCGCCGACGCCCGACAGTTGGCCGCCACTCAGTTGGAGTCCGGGTCCGGTCCGGGTTCGGGTCCGGGTCCGGGTCTGGTTATATTTCAAAACCTGACAACACACCGGCCACAGCGGTCAGTCGGCACGAGTCCGCCGTGTGAGCCACACACCAAAATCAGTATCAGGATCAGGATCAGGATCACCTTTTGGGGAACTCCCGAAATGAGCAAGATGATACTACAAAACTCGGGCAGCTGGACGCTTTGCGGAGCCCTGCTCCTTTTCGTCCTGCCGCTGATACCCACGCCGGAGGCACTGCAGCACACCGAGGAGGGTCTGGAGATGCTCTTCCGCGAGCGGTGAGTTGAGCTCTACTAGAGGCATGATGTCGCATCCAACTGGAAATAATATCCTTTGTTTTTTAGTTCGCAATCGGACTGGGAGAACGTGTGGCACCAGGAGACGCACTCCCGCTGCCGGGATAAGCTGGTCCGCCAGCTTTATTGGGCCTGCGAGAAGGACATTTACCGGCTGACACGGCGCAACAAGAAGAGGACGGGCAATGATGAGGCTTGGATCAAGAAGAGAACCACCGATCGTAAGTGCACTAGTAGATAAGTTAGCAATTCCAATCGAATGATGCCTCTGCTGCTACTTCCAGCTGATGGCTCCACCTGGCTGCACGTGAACTATGCCAACATGTTTCTGAGAAGTCGTCGAGCGGATGGCCATACTCCATCCATATCGAACGAATGCTGCACCAAGGTGGGCTGCACCTGGGAGGAGTATGCCGAGTACTGTCCTTCCAACAAGCGACGCAATCACTACTGATTGGCCATCGACGCTGGATCTGCTTAGATATATACGAACATATATATATACATATATAAATTCGCTTTTTTTTCCTGGTTGTTGTTGATGTTCTTGTTGTGGTGAAATAAAATCTTATTGAAAATAAACAGGTTTCGGTTAAGAAAAAATAAACTTTACGGACTTTAACCACAAATTTCACATGACAAAGCTATTTACTTTCGACATTTGCAGTGATAACTTAAAAATGCATTCAGTATCAGTAAAACAAGATTAGCATGATATGATAAATTACATATATTAATCAATCATGTTATACAAATCACACGCAACAGTTGTTATTTTTACATTAGTACAATTGTCTTAGCTTGTGATGCGTTTTACGTTGTTGACATGCCAAGCAGATTACAATACAATTTAAAAAAAAATTCACTTTATTCGACTTACAATCATCCTACTTTAAAATGCCCTAATTATGTCCTTAAAGTTAACTACATTATATACCTCTTCAATTTGGAGCAGTAACAATCCTCTAGTGCAATATCACTTAGTCAACAAGATCGTCCTTATCGTCCACATCGATCTCCTTACGACTCTTTGCTGAACCCTCAGCTTTGCTGCAGTCGGGTGCTTTTCGTGGCCTCTTCGATGCCGATCCCTTTTCATAATGAGAGTCCAGCATATCGAGCAGGGTCAACTGCCGGCCACCTGAACCTACCGTTTTCGTGGCGGAAGCGCTGGTTTTGGCTGATGTGCTGCTGTTGCTTATTTCTCCGCTGCTTTTTGCTTCCAGGCTAGCGGCCTGCATCATGGCATTAGCTTCCTCATCGTCGGACAGCATGAGAATGGCCTGATCTTCCGAGGAATTGGAGTTATCCTGCGATGATTGGGCGGGCAAGAGATCGGCACTTTGTTGAGTTATGGTGGCTTGTGATCGGGCTGAATGCTGGTTGAGTTCTGGCGAGGATTTCGCTGATGCCGAGCTCTTTGCCTCCGATTTTCCTTCACCAGATCCAGCTGCTTTGGAGATTCCAGCTTCTGCGGATGCTCCTTCTCCAGGCCCATCTTTGACCTTCTTAAGTTCATCTCTTATGAAATCATATAAGTTCTGTTTGGAAGCCTTACTCTCACGCGGCTCCTTGCAGCACATATCATTCATAACCATACTATAGGACCTTAAAATACTCCAAAGCTGATGAACCGTAGTCCCTTCATTGCGAAACAACAGCCATATTTCATGAAAATCATCTCTAAACTCCACATTTCCAAAGGTATAGTATGCCAAAGGTCTGCCCAACTGGGCGCAGACCATGAGTTGCAGCAGTGCTTTCAGGTAGGAATCTCCGCCGAATGCGCCGCATCCCCAATTACCAGTTGCCACACCCGGTGGTGGCGTCACCATCCAGTGAACAAATCCGATGTACGCCTTGTTCAGCTCCCTTTCCATGAGATCCTCGCGATATTGATGATGTGACTGGGCAAAATGAAGGGCATCGATTGCCACAATGGCCGTTTGTCGACGACCAGAGCTGTCTCTTGGCGTGGAATCCTCACAGTTGCCGGACCACTCAAAGCTTCCGGCATATCCCGTATAGTTACTATACCTTTCGGCGCCCAACATCACCAGAGACTCGAATGGTCGCAGACTCTCCGTAAACAGTTTGCCCACCAAGAGCTCCGGACAGATGACAAAGCGTATCTCTTCCTGAACGCAGCCGTGTCCCAAAACACCGCCACCCAAATATTTGTTGGCAAAGTCTACTTGCAGCAGTCCGATGCCCTCATCCTCGATCGTTCCCTCGGCGTTCACATGCAATGGCACATGGCCCAGCGGCGCCACACTTTGGCTCCAATCGACCAGTTGTTCCGGCGATCCGCTCCGGCGGACAAAGGTCACCACACCGGTGGGCACATTGCTGGCATCCCGCTCTGTGGGACACACTCGACGGAAATAGTGCATAATGCATTTAAGCTTCTCCAGAACTGCCGGTCCCGTCGATTGGTAAAGTCTGTGATAGAACGGAATATATTTGAAATACTTTGACTGAAGATGTATGCATCTGCTTTGCTGCCGCTTACCTGTTAAAGTTGATGTCCGGGAAAGTGCTGTACTCGGACTTTCGCTTGAGTGTGTTTCTCCGGGGAAAGGTGCACAAAAAGGCATTAGCCAACAGGCACGAGATCTGCTGTTGGCTCAGGCTCAATGAGACGTTCTTGTGTTGCTTGAGCAGCGGCACTGGCGACTGAATCAAGTCCGGAAGCCGCAATGCCAATCGGATAATGCGTGGCAATAGATCCTCGAAGAAAACCCGTGTTTCGCTCTCGTCCAGCTCCTCGTCAAAAAGTTGATGGAGGGCACGAAAGTGCCACTGATCCCTGTACGTGGTATTATATGATATTATCGCCGCCTGTAGTTCCTCACTTGTCTCTATGGGCTGCAGAAGGGCTCTCTCGATCATGTCCCAGCGGGAATCGATGGTGGTGCTGCCATCCGGGTTTTCCCTTGGATATTTCGATTCGGGCGCGCAGGGCAGACGGACATGCTCCGAGTCCCATTTCCCAGGTAATTGGTAGGGGCGTGGCGGTGTTTCCCGAATGGGCAACTGGTACATAACGCGGTGCAGATTGCCGGCTGTGACGGGTGGCAAATTCTCTAGTTCAAATGGCCGCAGATTACGATGTATAGCCTCCATGGACACTCCACGCCACGAATCAGCCAGAGAGTCCGCCAGATATTCCGGCTCCTCCTCTGTTTCCATCTCGGAAATGCCGCCATCCGGCGACTTGGACATGCTGGCGCTGTTCAACCACAAACCCTTGCCCAGTCGGTTGGTCAGCAGGGATGCACTTGCTCCGCGGCAATGGGCCGAAGATTGATAAACCTTTTGCAATATTGGAAAAATCAAGTGTGACCTCAGTTTTGGCATACCGGTGTTTTAGGGATGAGCGATAGTTGAGATATATATCGCACTTCAAAAATACTACTACATACCAGTGATGCCAATATATTTCGGATGCCAATGTGATCTTGCAAGTAATCACACTTAAGAACACATACACTACACATACACTACACATACACTACACATACACTACACAACTACACATACACTACACATACACTACAAATACACTACACATACACTACATACACTACACATACACTACACATACACTACACATACACTACACATACACTACACATACACTACACATACACTACACATACACTACACATACACTACACATACACTACACATACACTACACATACACTACACATACACTACACATACACTACACATACACTACACATACACTACACATACACTACACATACACTACACATACACTACACATACACTACACATACACTACACATACACTACACATACACTACACATACACTACAAATACACTACACATACACTACACTCACTGCTCGACCGGTAAGAGAGATTACTTGAAATATTTTGTGACTCTAAATTAGAAGACATGCCTTACAGTCTTCACTAGAACAAGTTGGGAATTATAGGGCTACAAGAAAATATGTTTCCTAAGCAAATATTAAAAGCGGCAATGACTATGTGTTCTAACAGTAAGTTAAACATTCTTCAGGCTTTATTTAAGACAATTTTTACTACTCACTTTAAAAACCCCACTATTTTACTCACTAATATAATTATGACAAAATAATATATAATTATTTAATTACTAACAGCTCGAGATTAATTTAGTAGCACTTTGTATCAGGGATGCCAATTTGAATAATGTGGAATTACACCAATTAAATTTTAAAAGGTCTAACATTGCCTAAAAAGGACAGATTTCCGGATAGAAAAACTTAAAAAAGGACAGATTTCCGGCTTGACATTTTTTCCGGATGAAGCAGTAAAAAACAGGATAGATCTGTCCTGAAAAAGGCTAAATTGGCATCACTGCTACATACTGCAAATGGCCAAGTGCGAATCAATAAGGTATTCATTTTGCTTATAAATACGATCTCACATTCTAATTTAAAAAAAAAAAAATGAAACTAATGCTATAACAGTTGCTGTATCTACATCATTTGCTATGAATGATCAATGATATGATATATGAAGTTTTTTGTTTTGGACGACCGTTATGTGTCCTTACCAATTTTATCATCATCGTTATGAAAGTCTGCAGAGTGTGTAATACCGACCAGGGTCAATTAGTTCAGCGGTTCTTAAATATATATTAACACATTGTTCTATCTAAATCCAAACAAGTTATATGGGAACGATTCAAAAATGTATTTCATAAATTTGGCGGGCGAAAGTGTGCCCACTTAAAGTGGTATTTTCCAGCACAATCTCACTAGTATTAAAATACACACAAAATGTGTGCGTTGCAATGCGAATAGCAAATATAACCGGGCAAACAGGAAAAAAACGACAAATCTACAAACTATTTTCTCTATTTTTTTTAAAGTGCGAAACTATCATAACGATCGCCGAGTTAAGTGTCAAGTTAAGTGAAAGGATTACTTCCTATCTTTCGTGCGGCAATAACAAATAGTGCATGCACCCAGGAAAATAAAGTTAACAGCGTTCGAGGGATTTTTACAAAGATATTTGCTGCCACAGAAAGGTAAAAAGCTGCAGAAAACAGTTGATGTAATGTTTTTGTTTTCTACAAACACTTTTAGCAACAAAATGTTTTTCTTTTAGTTGACGTCAGTGGTCAGATATAATTTTTTTCTTAGTCTTAAACCCTTATTGTGGCCCTCTCACTCACACCTACGTGAGTGTGTATGTGGTTGTGGTATTTTGCTAGAGCTTACGTGTTGAAAAGAAGAAGAGAAATCGCTGCATACACGTGCAAATGTTCTGAGAGTGCTCAAAAGAGAGCGAGAGAGAGCAAGAGAGCGACGTTGTTTGTTTTGAAAGCGTCGCAAAAACAACATAAAAAAAGACAAAAAAAAAAAAAAATAACGCACACACACACATGCAACTGCAGAAAATTCAAAAGCAATTTCGCAGCTAGCTAAAAACCAAAATAAATATAATTTATGAAATGTACTTTAGCTAAAGTTCAACACACCTTTATCTCTGCGCCAAATGTGTTTGCCCCATCTCTTTCTCTCCTTTCTGCGTAAACAATTGACAAAGCTTTGCAAGAAAAAAAAACAAACACAAAAATCTAATTATCAGAAGAATTCTACAAAAACAAAGATACTTTTCTCTTCATCGCTCTTCGTGCCTGAGTTTAGCCTTCAAATGTGCTTAGATTTCGCCTTGACCATAACCTAGAAATACTCGAAAAAAGTACTGTCAACTCTCAATAAGTTCAACGTTACATTTGCACCTTTAACGAAATGCAGATATTTAATGGAATTTACTTCACTTTAAATGAGTATTCATGCCCATATAATGACTATAGATTTTGGTGAACATATTCAACGTGATGGAGTCTCCACTGTAACTGTAGCGCTTTCTCTTTTCTCATTTGCGTCAGCGAAAATAGATGGAATAATCGGTGGAAGTGTTTGGCGGGGAGTGAGGTGTTCAAAAACACAAGCAACAACAAAAAATGCATAGAGCCGAATAATCGCTTGGAAAAAGCAAGCGACGAAAAATGTGAAATGTTAGTAAACTTTTTCAAGGTCACCTCGAAAATGAACTAATACTAATCAAAAGCAGAAAGAAGCAGAGGACTGCAGTTCTATGAGTCAGTTTCAAAAAATCAACAAAGCGAAGAGAGAGGAAAAATCCAAATTGAAAATTCAATTTATTTGTGGAAATTTCTGTCTTACTAGAATGTAGATTAATATACTCATTTATTTACAGATAATAATTAATCCGATTGTAATTTTATTATTACAAAATTAAATAAATAAAATGTATTTTGTATATTTTGATATATAAACTTTAAAACAAGCATATTTTAAATGTAAATATTAAGAATACAGTGTACAATAATAATAATGAAATAATAACCTTTGACAATATTATTGGTGTTCTTTTAAGGAGCGCTTACTGTACTCGTATTGCTGTGCGGAAGGCGGGTTGTATCATGTGATCCAGAATTGTTTGAAATATTTGGGCTTAAAAGTTCGAATAACCATTCAAGTAATAGGTATTTCCCATGTGCATTCGCTTGCTTTTGATTGGGAGGCTTCAATTGTATGCAGTAATAAAAATAAAAAAAAACGGAAATGATAAAATTGCGCTTGTGTTTCAACTCTTTTTCTTTGATTTTGTGAACGCGACTTGGCTCACGTTGACAAAACAAAGTGCAAAACAAAGAAGAGGATGATGAACGAGAAGAGGAAGATAAAGTGGAAAAAAAGCTTGCAGTTACAGGGTAGACTGGCTATATGCAACTTCGTACATATGTTTAATGCAAAAAGCATTTATATATGTATGTATCCATAAACATTCCTAGCAATAATATGATTGCTAAAAAATCATTCAATTGTTCTTAAGCACCACGTTAGTGGCCATTGCAAATACCAATATTGTGCTGTTCATACAAGTGCAAGCAGACAGAGAGAGAGAGGGAGAGAAAGAGAGGCAAATAGACAACTAGAAAGAGAGGGTTGGCCACACGTGTTGCTAAGGAGGGTCGCTCAACTTTATCGCCCATCCACCGGACCCCTGCGCATACCCTGCAAAAATATTCACACACTCTCTCACACAAACAAAATAAGAACAAAAACAGAGTGGAAAAAAATAAAATTCGAATGCGCGGATGACCTTGAGAGTTCTATAAGACGCGAAAAGCGAGACAAACAAGAGCAAATTTTCTTTTCAACAAAATAAGTACAAATTGCGATTTCGCTTGCTAATGGGAAAAATTCGTTTAAGAATAATACAACTTCGATTTTTGCTAACGGAAATGATATATTATTAGCAGATATGTATATGTTGTTATAATATTTACCATTATTTTTAATGCGAAATGCCCCTAACCATAATTATTTATATTTCTTATTTAATTTTTGGCAATGTTCACACCCCCGTTCGGAGCAAAAAGTGAAATCGTTTTTACATATGTATTAATTTGCAGCTTTTCAAAATAAAACCCAAAAATCACAATAAATAATACTAGTACATACATACATACAAAAATATGCAAAAAGCAGCACAACAATAATATAATAACAAAATAAATACAAACGGTGATGGCCAGTCAAGAAGGCCTTAACCCCAATAAATGTGTAAAAACAATTAAAAAGCAACGCAAAAGCATTGGCAACCAAATGAAATAAAAAAAATAACATTGCTAATTTATTGGGATTTGTGGGTGGTGAAAGTACAAAAATAAGAAAAATTAAAATACCTAAGGTAGCTGACAGATGCAGTGTTTCACATTAGTCCAAATATGAAATTACAGACAAGGACATTTAATTTGATCATAGAAAATAACTAGCAATTAAAGATAGCACAACGGATTGCCGAGAGATGATATCAGACAGTAAATATAAACCATACTGATTTCATATTAATCTAGCTACTTACATAACCTTAAGATCCTAATCCAAGATTATTTACAAGCAATCGAATAAACAGATTAAGGAACCAAAACGAGTTCAGTTCCGATCATTATATAACGAACTGAAAAACACATACAAAAATCCTTGAGACACAAAAAACGACAACAAAAATAAATAAACTACAACAAATAAAGCAAATTGTGTGCTTTTTTTCAAGCTAACAATTGCAATTATTTCGACATTAAAAGTTATTTGGCGCTGCTGCAAAAAATAATTTGATTTTAATTTGTACGATCTCGGTCTTCGTTCGATTTGAGGAAAGGGTGGCATTAGTCACTTGTGACAGTCATAGACTAAATGGCACTTGTCTTTTGATAGTGGAAAAAAGGTGGTATTCGTGGGGGAGGCAGGTGGGGTGGTGTAAGGGATTGGGGAGCCTAAAGGCCCCCACTCTCCTTTCTCTTTCGTTGACTATGAGTACAACGAAAGTTAGGTAAAGCGAAAGGCTGATAAGCTGAAAAGTGAGTAATGGCAATTTCAGGTGTCTGCATAAATTTATAAATTAAAAATAACTTATTGCAATTTGCAAAATTTATAAAAATAATAATAGAGCGGCGATTTTGTAATCAATATTAAAAAATTAAAAAAATATATAAATAAATATTATAAATAATAATGAAAATTATATTAAGAATCAAAAGTTAAGCTGTTGCGCTACTTATAGTGCACTTAACAAGTACAAGTATAGTGCACTTAAAAACAAGTAAATTATTTTAATTTAAAATATTTGCACTTTCTAGAATTGAAAATAAATATGAAAAAAAATGGGAACTCACACTCTGAAGAATTGCTGGCGAACGGAACTTCAAAGAAAATAAAAAATATATAATTTTCCCACACGCTTGTTAAATATTAATCAACAAAAACCTGCAGCAAAAACAGCGAACCGCCGAAAATTATAAGAATTATTTTTGTCACATTTTCAATGTCAACGTTGTCATACATTTTCAGCGCACAAATTAGCAATCTTTTTTTTCCAATTTTCCTCTCAATTTTTGTTTTTGGCTGGTGCACTCAGAAATTTCAAATTGTTTTTTTGGTACTTGCGTCACTTTGAAAATTCCTTGGATTTTTTTTTTTTTTTTTATCGAATTTTATGTTTTGGTTTTTTTTTATTTTGGGGTGAACCAACAAATGCTTTAGGAATGTTTTTTTTACTCAGTTGGGAATGCATTTTAAATTTCCATAGCTTGTTTTTTTTTAAGTACTTTGACGGATATTTTTGATTTGGGAATAATTTGTATTTTTAAAACAATTTTTACCCTCGCTTTAATTATACAATTGTTTTCATCAACTTGTTTTGTTATTTTTTATTTTGGGGTGAACCAACAAATGCTTTAGGAATGTTTTTTTTTACTTAGTTGGGAATGCATTTTAAATTTCCATAGCTTGATTTTTTTTTAAGTACTTTGACGGCTATTTTTGATTTGGGAATAATTTGTATTTTTAAAACAGTTTTTACCCTCGATTTAATTATACAATTGTTTTCATCAACTTGTTACTGTTTGGTGCCATTCATGGGCAAAGAGAGAGTAAGACAAAGAGAGTGGGAAAGAGATTCTGTATTTTTCACACATTGCACATGCCTCGTTGAGTATGTGGGTGTGTGTGTGTGTGTGTGCGTCAGTTTTGTATCTGACATCAGCGACAACAATAACAAAGCAGCGTGCAAAGCTAAACTCAAATCGAAAAAGAAATGAAAGAAACGCCAACGAAGACAACAACAAAAGGTAAACCAGTAAACACGTCAGCCAAGTCATTGAACATAAAAGAAACATGCAAAGAGCGTGTGGCGAGAGTGTAATAAAGAGTGGAAGCAATTACAGTGCGAGGGAGATGGCTAGAGGGTGAAAAATAGAGAGCAAACGAGAGGGAGAGCTAGTTTGCGTGGCAGCTTTTGGATTTGCCAAAAGGAAACGCAAACAAACTAAAGCTGACACGTGAGCTTAGCAAAGAGCGGACAAAAGAGAGAGACGAAGAGTGAATGCTTCAGAGAGACATTGAAAGAGATTTCGGAGAGCGCTTAAAGATAAGAACCAAATAAATAATTTAATAAAATTACAAGATATCGCGAAAATAAAATAAACGGAAC